AACACCTACGACACAATTCGTTCAGTTCAACTGCAAAACATTAACACACCGGGCCGTGTAAATTCTGTACCCTGAACTTCCCAGACTTGCTATGCTTCAGGCTCCTCAACGGCGTCATATAGAACGGCATATTATTCCCATCACCAATTTCAACACCCGAGCAATACTTCCCGCCAGAAACCCTTTCCAGCTTAAACCCCTCAATCCCCTGCAAACCATATCCACCACAGGCACCATCAACACTCCTTCTCCGGTAATTCGACTCCACAACCACAGCATCGCACGATTTTCTTGGGCCCACAACACTCGCACTACGCGCAAGCTTCGGAACACCATTTCCCATGTGCAGCCCATCACTACCCCGCTTTGGCCCGAAACCAAACACATTGCATACCTTGCGCCACCTGATGGATTTCTTCGTGGGCCCAGCATATTCGATATTAGCTGCAACTATATTTTCATCTCCCGAAAAAACGGGCCCATTTTTTTCCAGCCCATTGCTCAAGTGCCAGTCCTTAAGCTCCTTCTCTGTGATCACTAGCTTCACGTTCTCGTGATCTTCCGAGCCTGACGGTTTCTTCCCGAAACTCCGGGCAGAGCTCGACCGGTCGAAACTGCTCCGTCTCATGGAGGAAGATGAGTCGGAATTCGAGTGGCCGGAGGCCGATGCTCCGGACATGCTCTCATCCTCGACAATCGAGTGCATTGGTCTATCCATCGACAGCCTGTGGCTCTCGAACTTGTTAGGGCCCTCAAAAATGCCATTTTCGACCAAGGAGAACATCGGGGCTAACCTAGGGATTGTGCGGGCTATCATGTAACCGTCCCACGAGGCGCGAGGCTCCTCGAACGAGATCTTGCTAGCATCAACCGATAGTCGAGGGTTAGTGTCACAAGATCTTCGCCCTAGAATTGCAGGATTCGGAGGTCCCTCCAATTTTTTCCCAGCGTGGATGTTGTTTTTCTGATTCTTCGCCTTGTTCGTATTGTTCTGTCTCCAGTTCAGTAATCTCCTAGCGAAAACAGAGGTTGCACCAGCAATTTTCTCTCTCAAATCCTTGGATTTCTTGGTCTTCTTGTGGAATTCGAGATCTATGTGCTCCTTCATCGTCTTGAACTCTCCACCTCGGATATCCCCATCGCTGTCGGCGCTCGTTTCCCCCAATTCGTGACTCGAAACCCTAATCTCGCTGCCGTTGTGATTATCCTTCTCCGGCTCGATCACGGTGTAGGTGACCTTCGAGAGCCCCGCATTCCTCCCGACATTCTTCGATTCGACCCTCGCCTCGCTTTCCGATCCGCTCCTCAGGTCGTCTACGTCGAAGAGGCTGCACAGGGGGCTCCGAGCCGAGACGACGTCGCACGATCTGCGCCGCGGCTCGCTCCTGCCGCCGGAGGAGCCCTCGCACTTGGATACGGCGGCCACTGACCTGCACCGGCGGAGCTCCGGCGGGGATGCGTCGGGATTATTGACCGCTGCGGCGGGGTCGAGGCCGGAGAGGCGCTCGCGGAGGCACGATGCGCATATGCCGGCGGTGGGCTCGCCGGGGTGGCGGCGGCAGTGGGGGAAGCGGCGGACGGGTCGGGTCCCAGCGCGGGTTCGGGCCCGTGAGCGGGAGTCGTGCCGGGCGGTCATTGGACGGTGATGAGGTTTTGGCGCATTCAGTGACAAATGCGCGATGTGGACTTAGTTCGTGTGTGTGAAGTGGACTGAAGAGTGAAGATGGCTGAGGTCAAGAAAATGAGAGAAAGAATCCTAAGAGGAGCAGAGGATGGCAGGTAGGAGACGACAAGAAACCCTCGGTAAAACCTCCATTAAGGCAAAGTAAGTAAATTAATTGTGTGGACTAAATAAATAAATGATTGACCAAATCTATGGCAGTATGGTGGGAATATTTAGGGCAAGTCCCATGACGTGTATTTAATAGGTTCGATTTAGATGATTTATGGCTTGACATGACATGTATTTAAACATCGGGTGAATCTAACCTATTTAATTCAATGTAATTTATGAGGGTCACAGGATAATGGACATGGCTTGGTATGAATTAACCTAACCTGTTTAATTCAAATAATGTCTTTGGAACAATTCTGAATTTATGAGGGTTGGGCTTAACATTCCCGTATTAACCACTCTCACACTTTGATCCTATAATTTGACATTTTTCTCAAGTTTAGTCATTTTTTATTAGCACCCTGAATAAAAAAAAAGGTGATATGATGTGATGTGAAAATTTCTTTTATATGGCATGACATAATTGTGATTTAGTGACGGGATTAGAAAAGGTGGAAAACGAATTCTTAAGCCTAAACCGACAGGGTCAACACCCAATTTCAGAACTTGAAGAAGATACATAAGGCAATCACTGCCTCCGCCGGCCGCTGTCACCTTCCTCTAGCACCGTTCGCTGACCGCCAATCGACCACCTCCAGAAAATTTTTACATCATCTTGAAGCTATTCTTGTCCTCATTCACCTCTTAAATTTTCCGGCGAAAATTTTCCCGGTAATACCGTCAATTGCTCCGGTTAAAGTTTTTAGATCTAGAAAATTTCGGTCAAAATCCAATCATTTTTTTTGAGTTTCCTGACGATTCACGGCAACCCAATAGAATCGGAGGACACCTTCGGACTCCTCGTGTCTACGTACCCGATTACGTCCACCATCCCCTGAACCGAAGGTCTTTTTCGGTGATCCTTTTTTTCGGCAAATACAACCGTGCTCGCTGCTGTCGTGCACATTTTTCGTCGTCCCTTTTGCTCAATCTGAAGCCTGCCACCTTAGCTCACTCAACCGACCACCCTCAACCCACTCGCCCGATGTCTAACTTCGACGGGATTTTGTCATACGACATCGTGGTGAAGATGGACGATAAGTCTCTGGTCACAATGTTGACCATGGTAAAGGATCAGTTCCTGGTCAATCCAAATGCCCATGATGTTCTCACTCCAGAGGCTAGATGTCCTACCCGTGAGTGACCTTAGGACACTTGGGTCGAGTTTTCCATCGGGATAAAAAAAATTAGAGGAGGAGTTGAAACAAGAACAAATGGATTGACAAGTTCATCTTAACTAAAATCCACGTTTTTTGTGACTGACAACCAATGAATCAGGTGTATTTAACAACACATTATCAACAGAGTTTCTTATTGACTCCTGCAATATCCTGTCCCCATGAATGAGTTTCCATCCAGTTTCTTCATGAGCTTCGTCTTGGGTTTCCAATTGATTGTAGTTGGCGATGTCTTTGTACAATGTTCTTCTCATAGTCATGGCAACCATACCAGATAGGAAGAGGACGATCATTAAAGAGTTTATTATTGAGAACCAATGAATTTGGTCATCATTCATCAGAATGTGTCCACTTGGCAGTAAGGGTGCCATATCATGTTGGAAAATAGTAAATATATCTGACTGAGCGCCATGTCATTCCACGTCCCTTTTTTATTTAGGGTGCGAATAAATATGGACCAAAATTAAAAAAAAAAATGTCAAATTATAATACCAAGCTAGTTTGAAAATGGTTAATACAAGGGTGCAAAAATAGACTTTGGCCGAATTATAGGATTAATTTTAAATTTTTTTTCATTAATATTAGTATGCAATAGAGATAAGGAAGTTGTGATTGATAAAAGAGATGAGAAATGTGTGAACTTGTGAATATTGATGATATAATATTTCGTTCTTTTTGTGTTTTACAAACTCTTGGATATGGTGAAATCAACGTTGATTCAGACGTTGGTATTGAAGCCACTATTTGAGAGGTGATGAATTGAAAATTCAACATGTGTGCTTACAGCTTACCCTTACCCAATCAATAATACACTATAACAAATGAGTCTTGCATTTGAGATATATGATAAAGATCATGTAAAATTGTTATTTTTCTTTATATCAAAGAATAAATATATATAATGAAATCATATTTATATGACTATAAACATGTGAGCGAGATAATATATTAATTAATTTACGGGCTAGCGTTACCAGACTCAGGTTTAATGTTCCGACAAAAAAAATGACGTTGATGAAAAGATGTAAAAAGATAGATGATCAAACTCTATTATTTTTTAGGCCTGAACGAACAAGACCTATGGTCCACTCATTTAATATCATTCCACACTCCTAAAATCAACTACAATATGTTGGTTTGGCACCATTATTTCTCACGAATTTGTTGTTTTGAAAAACGTTATTATTTTTAATATAATTTTAATGGTAATATTGTAATCACATTTCATAACTCTAATATATAAAAGTTCTTCAAAGAAATTAAAATTGATCCAAACACAAAAAGCATAATAAACACTTATAAAACTAGAAATCGATATTGTTTTTTCTCATAACGACCATAAAGTATAGAAACATTATTTTCAAATAAAGTATACAAAATGTGTAATAGTATGCGAGATTAATTGTTGAATGACTATTTTGCAACCTAAACTTTTAATCAATTCAACTTCTTCAGTACATAAGACCAGAACAATTTTATGAAATTGTATAATACTAAAACTTAATCTATTTGTTTTCACGTCAAATGAGATTCCACTTTAGCAACATGGAATAATTTTAACCATATAATTATCTACAAGTTAATTAAAAATATCTCGAGAACCATGATATGATTTACATGTTGAAAATTAATTAATTTTAATCAAAAAATTATATTCATATATTATCATTACTCATCTATCTATTAATATGTGTTATTATAATAAAATAGTTTTTAAGAAAAAAATGTACGAAATAAAAAATTTATATATTTGAGTATAAATGAGAAGATTATAATTATATATAATATAATATAAAGATATAAAATTAATTGATATAAATAAGACATATGATTCAAAAAAGTGCTATACTTTAATTTTATGTATTTTTTAACAAACCTAAAAGTTTTACACACACACACACACACACACACATATATATATATATATATATTAAAATATATATGAAAAATAGTTTAAAGTTAAAAAAATAATAAATCTAATAAATAATATTAAATTTATAATTAAGGTGTAACACTTACTAATAACTATGAAAAAAAAGTAATAAATAAAAACGTTATAATTAGTAAAAGTAACAGTAGAACTTTTAAATTTGTACTTATCGATGTAAACGAGCCAAATTGTTCACCACATGTTAAATTGGCTATTCCAACAGAGTTCAAATTAAATTACATGAACTTTAGTGGATTTAAAGATTTCAATTACTTGAATTTTCATTGGAATTTTTTTTGGACCATATTTCAATCATTGGAAAAACTGTCATTGGAATCGTGCAAAAATACAATGGAAATTCTATTGGAAAGCTAATTGTAGTGATAGATCCAAAATAATTTCATATTGGGGGCATTATTTAGTTAATAAAAAAAATATACCATCAAAATAACATGTCATTGTAATTTATAAATTATACTTTACATAATCTATCACCTCTATCATTTCTTTTCAATATTGTTTGAGTTGACAAATATATTGCAAATAAAATAAAAATAATATAATTATTTATATCGATATATATATACATATATATATATCAGTACTAATTTAAAAATAATAAATTGACCTAAAATTATAGTATATATTAATTTTTTTTATTCAAGTTAAATCAATTTTATTAAGTATAAAATAACATAAGATAAACTTGAAGTATATTTTTCTTACATAGATTTGAAACAATTCATATTAAGAAATAAATAAACAAAATGAAGGTAAACTTACAAATATTCTCACGTTTTGGCTAGAGCGCCCATTCCCGATATATATTTGACACTGGTTTGCCGTAATGCTGAAACTATGGTGAATGTACCTTAGGTACAAACGAAGCGAAGCGAAATGAAGTCATAGATAAAAGAAGGAAAAGACTATGCCAGAGAACGGAAATGAGATAACATTAACTATGTGAATTAAAAAGACAAGTAAATGAGTTGTACGTTAAACTATTATTCAATTACTGCTTGAAAAAGAACCCTATAATGGTGGTACCATATATGTATTCAGTGATTATGAAATTGACTTAGTTACCAAATATTTTATCAAACATTGAAAAAAATTGTAAACTTTTTAATCTAATAATTCGTATAAAAAGTACATTTTTATCAAATATATTAAATTTACATTGTATCTTATATGATTATAGTAGTTGTAGCCTAATAAAAAGGATAATTTGAAAACATCATTATATAAAACACATACAAAAAATAACGCAATACATATAAATGTGCTTTAATTATTTAGTAAATAAAATATTATTTGTCTATAGAATAAGACACAAATAATATAATAGTAACATAATGAGAAAAAGAATACGTGTGAATTTTCAGAGAAGTATGAATTCCAATATTTACAAACAAAAAGTCTTTGAAAATTACTACTTTTTTTGTTGCTAGCGTTTAAATATATGGACTCTGTAAGAAATTGGTTTTCATAAATAATGATCCTATATTATTTATTTTTAATTTTAAATAATTAAAAAATCCAAAAATTTGTAATACATAATGTATATTTTAATCATGAATCCATAATAATAAACTTTGCAGATGACTAAGAGTATCGTAATATAATAGAATTCTAATTCTTCTCTTATCAAATATTTTAACAAATGATATGCTTCTCAATATTTTCTCATTGTGTTGATTGTTTTGTTTTGTCATTGTTGGAGAATAAAGAAATGATCTTTACCTTGAATTTTATAATCATTTTGTATGATAAATAATGTTGGACAATAAAAGCATTAAAGAAGTTATTTGGCACACAAATATTGCATATTCAAACGAATGTGAAAAATATTATGATAAACAATTCTAAAATCATTGCAACAACCATGATGGTCAATAATTTTCAAATAATAGATTATATTGTTCGTCTATATTCCAAATAAATAACAATGTCGGAGTATCAAAATAGTTTTGAATGTTCGAATGAGGTTGTCACTTTTTATAGATATATTCATAATCTCATTAGTGTATTGTACTCGAGCATATGTGCAATTACTTTAGAGGTACTTTCAGGTAATGTATGATGATTTCAAAAAATAATTTAGCACCTCGGGAGAAGTACATGTAACCAAAATTTTGGAAAGTCAACTTTTATTTGGAGATAAAATTCATTCCCACCTCGTGGCGATATGCATCAATGGGGTAGGCACCAATATGTCTAGAGACAGAGAAATGTAGTAGTTTATACAATGATAAAAAATACCAGTAATTTTAATGACACGGTTAGTTATTTCATAGAGATATTTATGCATTGTTAGTAAAAGTACCTTATTATAAAGATTATACGATCATGAAGTTTGAGGGTCATAATATTTCTTAAGTGTTTGAATAAAATTACCGTTTTGCCAAATGAATTAAGAAGAATTTTGCAATAGTATTGATGTATTGAACTCTAGCGAGTATGAATGTTTCTTATGAGAAAGATGAAAGAAAATCTTAGTGTTTTTTGTATTAAGATTTGTTTTTATATTTTTAAGTTGGCGGTTGTAAAACGTTATTTCACTCTTTTTATATTAGGACACCATTATGTTAATTCTAAATAAAAAAAAAAATCACATATGAATTCATTTGTTCTATATTGTATTTCATTCCTGTAATAATATGTTTAATAAATAAATTAATTTATTTTACAAACTTACTTAGCGAAAATCATTCGATACCACGTGCATCGCACGTGCACTTTACTAGTATACCAAAATAACTACAATAACGATCCCGGCCCATGCAACGCGTGCATACATAACAACTGATCCGCACTTGTAAGTGTAACACCTGGCCACCACCACAAAAACCCGACCGGCTTCTTGTACGTATACCACCTGGCCACCACCATAAAAGCCCCTAGATTCACCACACTCAACCCCGCCATCAGCCAGTAAAAATAATCGAGATGCCCGTAGTTAAGGTTGTCCGGAATCCACCCCACTCTACTTGTCACGAGCAGCGTGCTCAAATAACTCCCGAGCCCCACCGTTGTGAGCTGCAGAGCCGAACAGATACTCCTCATCGAATCCGGCGCCTGCTCGTAAAAAAACTCGAGCTGACCAACAAACACAAACACCTCAGCACAGCCCACAAGAAAATACTGCGGGACCTGCCATAAAATCGACATCGGTATTTCTAACATTCGGTACGCATTGTGGCGTCTAACGTAGCCGAGGCGGACGGACTCGAGTGCTCCAGCTGAGAGCATTGAGAAAATCGAGATGAAGAGGCCCGTGCCTATGCGCTGAAGTTGTGTCAGCCCATTTGCGCGGCCCGTGATCTTGCGGGCCGCGGGGACAATGAGACGGTCATAGATGGGGACCCAGAAGATGATGCTGAGAGTGTCGAATATGGTGAGGGAAGCTGCAGGGATTCGGAAGGTGGACCCTCGGATGAGGTGGGGATTCATGGTGAGGCCCTGGAGGACGAATAAGGTGGAGATTTGGGTGTACACGGCGGAGAAGACGATGCCGGTGGCCCACACGGGGAGCAGACGGACAATGGCTTTGAGCTCCTCGACTTGGGTGACGGTGCAGAGAAGCCATGGGTTCACGGGCCCTGTTTCTTGATCTGACGGCGAGGACTGTGTTTTCACGGCAGCCTTGTCAAAAAACCTGTAAGGGGGTGATTGGATATGGATGCAACTAGTTTTTATTTGATTTTTTTTAATTAAAATAATTAAAGTTAATTTGAGGTAAAAGTAGAAGAAAAATGATTGAGAGTGATGGTTAATTAAAATTACGTTAGTGGATGAATAGTGAATTAAAGTTGATGTGATATGTAAGAATGATTGGTTGAAGATATTGTGGTTAGGTATTGTGGTTGGGTTAAAATTGAGTGAAATTTGAGTTTTTTT